CCTGAGAGATTAAACTGCTATTTAGGGGCTGACTCTCCTCTGGGTATAGTTCCTATGGATGTTGTTGTCATTTTCAGACCCCAGAGTAAAATTTATTCCTCTGTTTATTACCCAGGGAGATAGTTGCTGTTTATAGGGACAGATTTGCCCCTCTGCATCCAGAGATAGAGACAGAAAGAGAGAAAGAGAGAGACTCTGAGAAGGAAGGAAACAGAGGGGCGGTACCGTGAGAAGGAGCCAGTCCAGAGATGTAATTGGTACCTTTCCTTTTTTAGAAAACATTTCTTACTTACTGAGGTCCAGCAAATGAGTCAGGGCGCAGCGTGCTTTATAGCCACACTCAGGCTCTCTCACATGGTTTATCATACTTTCCCTTTGTAGTTTTCCCTTTGAAGAGGGTTTAAGTTTCTCCTCTGTTTTTGATCCTCCATGTATTAAGCTATGATGTTAGCTACTGGTTATGTGCATGACAATAGAGCACATCTGGTGAACAGGAAAAGAAAGATTCTCATTTTTAAATATGTTGTTTTTCCCAAGACATATGTGCTAAAACATTTTAGCTGAATACCTAGCAAGCAGAGGTGTGTGGTCTTTTATTCTACCTCTCCCTCATTCATTCACTCACGCACATCAGTTTTCTTCCCCTATCACATGCCTTGTTGTTTAGTTCAGGTGATAACTCAAAACGGCCAGGGGGTCTTCAAAGAGCCAGCAGGGGTTGACAAAAAGATGAGAGGAAACGAGAGAAAAGAGGCTGAGTCAGACTGTGATAACCATCTTGGCTTGTACTGCAGGTGTGAAGTGAGAGGGATGGCAGTAAAGAGAGGACAGGTGGAGAGGGGAAAACCTGTCAACTCACCAATAACCTTTTGTATATTCAGCAGTGCTGCCTTCCTGAAAACATATCAGTACTCAATTAATCAGTAGGCGTTGTCGTGAAGTTCTCTGACCTTGACAGTGAGGACATTTTCACTGGTCCTCACGTCCTCAAAGAGCTTGTTTGAGGGTGAAGATCTGAAAACAAATTCAAATGTAATTACATAATATAATGTAAACCTAAATAGATAAATAAATTAACATTGAAGGAGCTATTTGTAAGTTTTGCTGTTGCTATATAGCCAGCATTAGCATTAACAGCTGTTTAGGCTACCTGCCGGTCTTGCAGAGTGGTGAGTAAAGGAATGGAGTTTGATGCTGAACTGGCAACGTTTCTTCTACACTGGTAAGTGAACAGCTATTAATGCTACCTCTGTCTATACGTCAATAGAAAACTTACAAATAGCTCCTTTGAACAAAATGAACAAATATCAAATTCAAAATCCAGGATAAAGAAAAGACAAAGTATAAAATAGAGGCATTTACTCAGATCCCTTATATCAATAGGTAGATTTCCCCACAATGAAAAGTTTACAGTGAACACATATTATAAATTGTTGAGATGTAATTTTAAAGACAATTCACTAATAAATAGATAATAAATAATAAAAATAAGTCTTAAGGTAAAGAGAAATGGGAGCCTTTAATCAAAATGTTAATTAATATGAAATAAATGAAATCACATTACAGTTATAACTGGGAGTAGGAAGGCATGTTTGTTGATGCGTGTGTATTTGTGTGTGCATGTACACACAAATACACACAAAGATTCAGCACCTGGAGCAACAATGGCTCTGAGCAGCTGTGTGTTTGTGAAACTGAGCTGAGCAGCAGCAGGACACCAGGGTGTGTTATTAAGGTCATAGTCAGCTCCGTCTGAGTCCACAGGAATTACACCAGGCCGCTTCACTGTTCCACTTTTAATGACCAGTTGTGGCAAAAGATCAGTGGACGTATAATTGCAAATGTCATAGATGTTGTAATAAGACAGAACCCAAAATAGCATTTCGAGACCGACGTCGTGGCAAATCAGCTTACATCCAGCACGATCAGTTTTCACTGTGAACTTGTTAAAGTGCAACAAAGGGAAAAAATGTTTCAGGCAGCATTACATGAAAAAGGGGCCTTTCATTTTTGCAGATGAAAGAAGAAATGAGAAGAATGAAACACAGCACATGGATGCAATTAAAGGGCCAATTATGTCAAAATTGAATGACTTACTTGCTCTGATAAAGTGCAACAACAGAACAATTTTCTGGTTACTCATGCAGTCGTATAAACTCGGCACGTGGATTGCGTTAGTGGTAAAAGAACACCTGCTTGACCTGGAAATGCTTCAGGCATCCATCTTCACGCTTTCTCTTGTATAACACTCATACATGAATTCAAGTGCCCCCTGTTTTTTCTTTTCTCTGTGGATGGAGCATTTCTGGGATGTGCCTCAGTCCGTGGCAGGAGGTGTCAGCAGTTTGTTTCAGTCCCATAAAAAGCCCGAGGGCTCGAAAGGAAGCAGCTGCTGAGAAATGAACATTGGTTAGAAGGACAAGCCTACTTGAGTTTGACTTCCCTCTGGGACTGTTCCATTAACACCATGATAGATTTATGGGCCTCTTGACATTCATACCCTTTCTTTGGTCATTACAGGGAAAGTAAAACAGGTGGAAGTGCTGGCGTTTTTAGAAACTAATTTTAATGATCTTGTCTCCTCCAACAAACCTCATGTTTTGCTTGTTTAGGTTCGGTAATGGTGCTGTTTTCTTGGAGAGAAAAAACCTTTTAACATTCCGATTACATTTGCCCTGCCAAGATAACACAGTACATATTGTGCTTGAGCACCATTAAAAAATCAAGACCTGGCAAGAGATCTGTCTAAATCATTTTGAGAGGTGAGACAAAAGGAGATTTAATTATGCTGATCATGTTTCATTTTACTTTGTTTATCTGCCTTTGATGAGCACTTTCCAAACAAGCACTCTCTGTGTTGACTCGCAGGAGAAAAATTCCTGCACTTTCCAAAGGAACCCTGGGTAACACGACCAGCTTTGGAACAAGACAGCACAGATCACTGTCACCTTGTTAGCATCACAAGCATCCCCCACACCACTCACTAGCACAAAGCTTATGTAAGGCATTTGACGTTGATGTGAGAGCCGCGGCTGTGTGTCAGTGGGTTCAGTGTTTTCATGTGCATGTGTACAGTATGTGTGTTTAATTTTCCATGTAGTCACTGCCCTTAAGTCTGGGACTTACCAACGGGTCTGGACCTGCTCTCCTCATTCCCAATTCAGTCTCATGGGCTGCCAGTAATCCCTTGAGTACTGAGTGAGAGGGGTGGGGCTGGCAGAGTGGGGGGTGGGGGTGGATGAGGTGCATTGAGATAGTAAAAAACATGGTGTGCATCCCTTCAGGTGAAGGCAGTGCCAAGAACAGGGCTGTGCGTCCGGGATTTCTGGTGCTGGCTCAGCCAACTGTGAAGCCCAGCAGGGCTTGCTGCTCGTCTTCAGTCAGTCTACAGTCGTCCAGTGTAAACAGGCGTCCAGTGGTTGCCCAGAAATAGACCACACGTACCTGGCACAAGCCACCCTTTTCCACTGGTAGGTCTCTCTTCTGATGTTGGACAGTCATTGCTAACAGCACAACCTGGATTCGTAAAAATTTAGCATCATGTGTGTTCTGTGCATGCTGGGAGAGGTAATGAGAGACATTTAAGTAGAAGAGTGACCTTGTACTGAAAAAGTGTGGGAGGAGAAGGTGGGGGGGTATCTGTATTGAACTACAGCCTTGAATTACTTTGGCTTACTTTCAGTTTCCCACTCATATCTCAGTTTTATACAAAATAAAGTTACGTTTTCAGCAAAGGTTCTTTACCTAAGCTAACCATACCCATAACTAGTTGCAGTTACCGTTCATAGACCAAACCATGCCTAAAACTAACGAGAGGACCTTTCATTCACATTTTTGCTTGTGTGCTCATTTTCTGAAATTACAAAAACACACATACACATGCATGCACTGACAAGTGCAATACACACACTTACACAACACAGCCCTCTGACAAGTGGAAACATTGCATGTGGTTTTATTTTGCTCACAAAATCTTCCACTCTGACGTGATAATTTAACATCAATGTTTATTTCAGATTTTGAAAATATTTACAGATACAAATTTCAAAAGGTAAGTGTGCTATAAAATATGGTAAACTGAAAAAAATGGGCTGGTTTTATTGCTAAAACAAATCATAGAAGCTGAATTAATTTGTTGTGCAAAAAGCATCACACTTCAGATTAAAGTAAAAACTTTCGAAATAAAAGGCAATAAATTGCCCCTAATTTACTATGGTAAAAAAAAAAAAACAGCAAACGTGTAAAACCAACACCACAACCACATCCCCTGACCCTCACCATCTAAAGGCTGGCTGTAAATCCCAAGAGGGAGAAAAACATGGTGTCATCACTTTTACAACCACTGATATTACTCATGGCTTTAACAGCCCAAGGACAAACTGACATAAAACACAAACACAGGCATTGTTAAAAAAAAAAAAAAAAAAAAAAATCATGTGGGCTGAACAAACAAACAACAGCAAGTGAAACTGATGGACGATTCCTGTGAAATGTTCCTCAGTTGGCTGACAGTTCCAGCCTCTCAGTCGGAGGGAGATCCCCAGGTCGGATTGTCCCTGTGACTGTCTGCTGTCCTTTACGCTGGAGCTTTCTCCAAAAACACCTGCAGCATTATTGTCCAGGAAAACCCCACCAGCCACTGTTTTCCATACCTGGGATTTAGCACCATTAACTACGACCTCTCTAGGAAGATGATGTGGCAAACAGAAATGTCCCAGACAGTCATCTGTAAAAACACAAATGTTCTTCCATCGAGGTCATTTTGGTCCTCTTGTCCTTTTCCATTGTCAAACTGACACACTTTTACACGTGTATCACTTCTTTGGAAATCTGTCCATCCAACAAATAAATTAATTCATTTCAAGACAGATAGTTTAGTACTGCAGGGGAAAAGTATATACACATAAAAAATATTATCTATCTCTATCAATATAAGAAGTCCATGGTTCGGTGTGCCTCCAACATCATGATGGCAGCGCTCGGGGGGGTGGGGGGGGGGGAAGCTTGACCACAGAGATCCTGATTACTTTGAATATTTTGTTCCCATTGTCCACATTATTCTTGTCCTCCTTTATCTCTGTCAAATGCTCCTCTCTCAAGTCTCAAACATGACTTCTTCCATCTGTGTGCATGTTTGAGGGGAGGCAGAGCAGTGTGCTGTATTGTATCTTTAGCTACACTTGCAGGACGTCACAATCATATTGGACAGCTGCTCTACCTGAAAGTAAAAATCAGCATCAGTGATAAATCATCTGTAAGTGTTCACATAAAATGTTCTGTAAACATTTCACCTCATAATGAAGGTTACTTGGCTGAAGTATAGGTACCTTGTGTTGCCTGCCCACGTAGTAGAGGATTGGCAGTGGCTCCAGTGCCTGGGGGACACAGCAGGGCTGGGCAGAGGCTCCTGGATTGTGATGCTTGTACAGGGCCAAAATCTGTAAACCATTAATATGATGGGAAATACAAGAAAACAATGAACTTAGCTCAACTTAGCTTGACATGTGCCAGAGCAACTGTTGACATTCAGCTTGTTAAAATCCAGGTATTAGCCACAGCAAGTGTTGTTTGTTGAACAGTGTTTGTAATTGTTTAGAAAAGTAGTAAGTAAAAGTAATAAATTCATTACTGATTGATGCACACTGTTTACCAGAGTTTCCTTAACAGTTGAATAGGAAGTGATATTTTAGAGGCTATTCCATCGAAAACATAAATATTTCAGTACACTGTGAATAACTGTCAGATTTTCAGACACACATTACTCACACAAAATGTTATCAATGCATGACTTCAGTTCAAGCCTAAGACTTTATATTAGTGGCTCTGTTAGGCTGTACATACACACAACAGTGCTTTGAGCTAAATATATCAATGCTAACATGCTGATGTTCAGCAGGTATAATGTTCACCATGTTAGAGGCTGCCGGGAAAACAATTAGTTGTGCAGGTTTTTGCTCGTGACTTTGACCTGATTGTGGCGCAAAAGAAAAGTCAGGGGCTCATCAGTGTGATTATAATTCATCCTGAGGGGGTAATGAATGTGTTTAATATAATGGTAATCCATCCAACAGTTGTTGAGATACACCAACACTGTCTTCCCCAGAGCCATGCTGCTAGCGTGGCTAAAAATTAGGCCTGCAACTAATTCTAACTGTCATTAATACTTAGTATGCCATTATTATGTTATTATTCTGATTATTGACTAATTAATTGATTAAAGTTCCAGGAAATTGTGAAAAATTTTAATCTCAATTTCCCTGTGCCCAGAGTGACGTCTTCCAGTTGTGACCAATTATTAACAATGATTATTGTTTCAGCACTGATTTAAACCCAAGCCCCCTCTCTCTCATACAGCACAGACTTCACCACTTGATGTGTTCCAACTAGCAGTCAGATCGGTAGCCAGGAACCGGAGAAAATCAAGTTGAGGGAATTCTTTTGGTCTGAGCTGCCAAACCACTCCCGAGTGCCTTATTCAACCACATGATCAGATGTGGATCATTGCATGCTGCAGTGAGGTGTTGCACTGTACCTGAGAATATTTGTTTTCAGCATTCCAGATGTAGGTGCAGGACCCCATGCAGTAGTTGGCATAGTAGCCTGTGGGCTTATGTATCCACTTCCAACCCAGATCTTTCCTGAAGTCAATGTACAAGCTCCGCACGCAGCAGGTCTCCGTCTGGCTGCATAAGAGAAAACAGTAAAACACCTTTTGTGAAATGGGGTGTGTGATGAGACGCCATAGATACTTTTAGAGCCTGGTTGCTGTAGAAGGTACATTTTTAAAAGCAGTCTGCACTGAGGATAATTTTAAGGTATGAATTCACACCCATCAGCTCAATTCAGTTCCATCCCATCAGTGTACAAATTGCAGTCTTCCCATCCTAAACAAGGCCACTAAGAGTTCCAGCATTTGCCTAAATGAAAGTCTGCTGTCTGATATACCAGCCACTGTTCTGAGGCTCCCGAGGATCCAAACTTCAGTGTAAAACACAAAGAAGTCTGTCTTACAGCACTGAGCTAATGCTCCAGTGCAGTTGTAGTTGAGGGTTTGGGGTTTAAACCCTGGCTCCTACTGTCCACACATTTGAGTGTCCTTGAGCAAGACAGAGCACCTCTATTGATCCTGATGGCCAGGCCATCTGCCTCGCATTGCAGCTTCGCCCTGCGTTGGTGTGTGGGTGAATGAGAGGCAAACTGCTAAGCGTTTCTCTGTACAAATGCAGTCCATTCACCATGCAGCTATTAAAGTGGCCGCAGACTTAAGGTGGATAAATGGGAATAGTTTAAGAGTTCTCATCGTGGCAGGTAGCTGCAAATGGGTTATGTTGCCTTGTACAGCGTTAAAAATGTCAGTGAAATAAAATACAACAGCACAATGTGTTATGTGTAAGATCGCTTACGCTGTACACGTATCCGTCGGCGTCGCTGACGTCGTCACGGCGCGTTTTTTGCGTGAGCTGACGCTGCTAATGTTCTGAGGGATGGACATGGTCAGGATGTAGGGTGGTTGCTCCATCTGCTTTTGTATTTGTCCTGTGTCTCCTCTAACACCCTTGGTCCCAGAGATTTCAAAATTGAAGCAACTCTCAGAACTTTGCTCGCTCTCGCTGCATCCACAGAACAGCCGCAGTTGGAAACCTTGCTCATCCTCTGGTGAGACAGAAATTTACAACACATCTTGTTGGTTACTTCATCTGTGAAGGTAAATGTACCATCAGGATTGCACATGGGTTGAAGTAAACAGAGGGACAGGTCATTAGTATTAGATGTAACTCACCAGTCCCTTTGAGCCACTCCTGCAGGGTCTCAGTGACATCGAAGGACAACCATTTGCCTTTCCACTGGTTGGTGATGAAGCGGGAAGCGAGGTAGCGGGGCGAGGTCCCCAGACCCCGGTACAGCTCCACACGCTGCTCAGAAGGTATTGTAGTATGCCTGATTAACATCCGCAGCTCCGCACTGGTCAGCAGGTGGCTCTCCCCCACTTTTTGCCGTATCTCAGAGATGTTGAAGAACATCGGGATGCTTTTGGTGGTGTTATTTCTTCCTGTGCGAGTTAAAACAACCTTTTCAGACAAAGCAACTTGAATAAATGCATATGAGAGAGACACATGCGAAAAAAGAAGTGTCCTATGAGCTGATCTGCTTTTAATTAATATATTATAGCTGATCAATTTCTGATCCTTTGTGTATTTCGTACCAGCTGTCATATAATACAGTGTCTTGGACCAATCTTAAAGGAGACAGGGAACCACTTTGGAGGGGAATTGTAATTCAAATGTTTGTTTAAGTGTGAACACTGTGGTATGTGTTTTTAAGAGCTATATTTTTTGTTCTTTTGTTCAAAACTGTAAGAAAGATAAAACTACTGAGCACTGTCCAGCTAGATTATGTAGGAAAATATAAATATTGGGTCAGGAATCTGTCAGCAGATACTACATATTACACTCCAAAAAACAAAGAAAAACAGTACTGAAAGGTTTTCCGTGGTCATGGAGGGGTGGTGGAGTTCGTGTGAGCTTGTGATCATGGAGCTCTGGTGTGTTTTTGATAGTTGGAAAACCACAATTATGGTCTATATTGTAAACTTTACACTAAACACTAAAAACATATGGTAATATCTCTTGGCAAAAGAGAGTATGACTTTTAAATAATGGAACATGGCAGTGGCACAAATGGGGAACAGTTAATGGGCATGAGGGTCAATCAAGTCTTTAAACTTATAAGTTAAGATTCTTTTAGCTATTTTTCTGTATTACACTGTATTCAAAATCAATTTTGTATTAACTAGTATTTACTATATTACCTCTAGCCTCTTATATACGTATACTTGCTGCAAACCGCACTGTAATTTACCGCATAATGTAATTCTGAGATGTTTATTAACCCGTTTTTCATAAGTAAACTTCATGAAAAGTTCTTTCAGACATGATCTTCCTGATTCTGCATGCACATTAATAAAATGGAAGAGCCAAGTTCACAGGGTTACTCAATAATCTGAACTGCAGCCAAACATTCATCTATTCCAGCTGCTGTAAAGTTGACCATAGAGAGCGTTTTGTGTTCTTACAGTATTGCTGCCCATATTTGCAACTTTTATTCCTGAGCCTGCCCATATCATGACAGCAGGAACATTCCCCACGCAGAGCTCAACAGAAAACAGAGCCAAGCTACTGAAGGCTTTAACACCATAAATCTAGCAGCGTTACATTACAAAGGATTAAGTCAGGCGGAGACGTGCAGAGATAAGCGCAGGAAGGCAGATGATCGAGAGTGAAACGCTGTGTAGAAAGAGACACTGAGAGGAGGTGCAGGGGGTGGGGTGTAACTGGCCAAATGCAAAGAAAACAGCAAAGTGAAGAATGCACTTATATGAATATAACTCACAATTGTGAGGGGTGGAAGTGGAAGGGCTGGTGTGAGCGGGGGTGCGGAGAAATTGGAGATGTGTATCAATAGAGCCTGGGGCCTACTGACCGTCTACTGTGCCTGAGCCTGCCAAAGCACTACTCTCAAGTCCAGGAATTACTCTTTGACAGCAGCTACAACCCAGCCTCGCATACTTGTGCTGCATAGTGGATCCAGGCTGCGTCAGGATCCTCCATGTCACGGCTGCTTGTGTATCATTTACCACTATGACCATCTGTGTTGTTGCTTAGGTAGTGTTTCACCCCTTGTATTGAAGCCAAACTGAAACCGAAAAGAGCTGGTGTGGAGTGCAAAGGGAAATGAGATGACATTTTACTGGTCCCACCCAGAGCAGAGTCAAATGTTTAGCTGTAAGAGCATGAATTGAAACACAGAGCGTCACAACCCTGTACAGTATGTGGAGAGAGGTGAACTGGAAGTGATGTACCAAGCAACACCAAGCACAGAAAGTCACAGTCTCCAGCTAGTTTCAGTAAACTGAGATAAATGTGTTAAGGGTTAGAGAAGCGTTTACAAAACAGGAAATTAAGTCACTTCCCCTAAGAAGCATATTGGCTGCAGCACCACAATTAGGGTGAAGCTCTATCCTCACTTCTACTTTCCAATTAACACAGCTTGTATCGCCTCTGGCGGATTATCTCCCCAAACTGTTCATGTGATGAAATTACAACACTTTGAGGGAACAAAGTGTGAAAATTCCTTCTCAAGAAGATAAGATAAGGCCTCGCTCTTCCAGACAAGAGGAAAGATAGCACCCTAGTCGGCGTACTAGCATGGGTGTGGGGGGGGATTTGTGTGTTGAATCAGGGCCTATCCGCAGGTAAGCTGGGGACAGCTGTTGTGACAGGTAGAGAGACAGGCCTGTAATTACCAGTGGGAGGAACCAGATTCCAGCAAAAGGCTAAATACCTGCCTCCTTCATATGCTCGGCTCCACCTTCCCACATCCCACTCGTCAATGTCTTGTTTCCCCACCTCACCGTGTTTAACACACCGTGTCTGACGCCTGTTGCTACTCTTCTCCATCGTAGGGTGATAGCAGCTTTATTTACTCTTAAATATAGTATTTAGCCTGGTTTCCAAAGAAGGAAAGAGTTCCCTCTATAAAACGAGCCAAATTACATTTGGACCAAAAACCATGTTAAATGCAAGAGGTGAATTTGTGTGGGCTTTATTGGAAGGATGTTACTTCTAACTGGCTGAAGGAAGTTAGCCTAATGCACCACACAATTACCATGATGGAGACTATTAGTATTAAGCTCTAAAATGCTCTGCACACAAATATGCATCCCTGTAGGCTGTTTTGGAGAATCAGGAAAGTGTGAGTCGTGCAGTAAAAAGAACCACAAACTGAAATGACGAATTGATAATGAATATTGAAAAAAACGTATTCTCCAGTGGAATTCTATTTTAATTACTTTGTTCAAATACAGAGCAGAAGCTGGCTTGTCTCACACACACCCTTGTATTGAGTGTGTTTGCAAAACAGTTCTTGCTAGGCCTATACACGTACACTTGGCGTTTACCCTTTCCCAGTGTCTGGAGGCTGGCTCTGTTTTACGGAGCCACAGCGAGGGTTAAGACAGTGGATGGGTGTTCTCTGGCATTCCACAGAGGTAGGAAACACATGCTCCCCATGGGCACCGCTTGCACCGGACCTGAGTCACTCAAGATCTCAGTGGCCATCAGCCTGCCTTCCTTCCTGCCAAGCTGCCCTGTCACAAACACGCTGCAAACACACTGATAATAGGCTCAGGAAACCCAGCAGAGAGAAGCAAGAGGGGAGGAGAGAGAGGGGGGGGGGGGAGAAGACGTGGTAATCAAGGGCAGAGAGACATGGAAATTAAATGGAAAATGGTCAGGACGAAAGAGAAAAAGATATGATGGAGAACAGGTGACAGGATAAGCTAATAAGGGAGAACCCAATTCTCAAGTTACAGGAAACCCCCAGTCCCTGAGGGACAGAGGGGGGGTGAAAGAGAGAGGGAGGCAGGGTGACGGTGAAGGAGTACATTTCATGTCTTCTCTAATCTTATTTTTCTATTTTCCCCTCCTGTTCTTTGGTTGTCATCTAAGCAGAACAAAATCATGCCCTTCATTCTCAAAGTTCCTTTGTTCTCCCTGTGCAGTTGCACACTCCTGAGCAGGGTCCATCCACTCAAGTCTTTCTTTTGAAGTGCTGGATGAAAGAGGGATAGTGTGGATGCCTGCCTGATGGAGTGAGGAGTATAGGCATGTAGAGAACAATGGAGCAAAGAAACAAAACCAAAAAAATATGTTTATCATAACAGTTTGAGAGTCATTGCGCAATTAAATCCAAAAAACCATTTGGCTGAACAAACAGCATATGCAGGCTAGCCAAACAAACAGCGCTAATAAAGCAGTAAAAATGCCATAGATACCACGAAAGCAACACAGAGCATCAGACCAGATGCAACACACAGTGCTGCTAACTTGTAACGCCTGTGATCTCTGAACTCCTCGAGCTGCCTGAAGATATTGGGTGGAGATCAGAAGAGGTACACATGTTGAGGGAATTTATGGATGAGATTGGAATTGACACCAGTCATCAGGCAAATGATGATTATTTTGGGCTGTAGCTGCTAAGTTCGTTCTATGTTAGCAACTATTTTAAGGCTTACTTATGCTGAAACGTGGGCCAACGAAATGACATGGTTAAAAAATGGATTTAAACAACACTATGTATGTATGTGTGTGTGTGTGTGTGTGTGTGTGTGTGTGTGTGTGTGTGTGTGTGTGTGTGTGTGTGTGTGTGTGAGAGAGAGAGAGAGTGTGTGTCTTGAGCAGTGTGCCTTACGCGCCTGTAAATGTAGGAGCATAAATCAGTCATACTATTACGTGACACTCTCAGTGCTGTAGTTAAGTCATCAGAAACTGCCTCCATTCTTGACAATGGGTGTTCATATGTGCACAGTACATGACTTATTGCTGCTCTGAGTTATCTGGTACTCACTGGTTGTGCTGAACTTGTGCAGCACCTTGGCGAAGTACTCCTCCTCCTCCTGCTCTGTGGAGATGTGTCTCTGGGTCTTAGTCTGCTGCTCCTTCAGTATCTCCTCGGTGCTGTTGTAGAGGGACAGCAGAGTGGACGGGATCTCCTCCTCTTCTCCAGCCTGATCAGGTTCAGGCTCTTTTGGTAAACGCAGTTTGCTGAGGATCTGGCTCCTGATGGCCTCGATGCGCTTTTTCTTCACCATCTCCAGGTCCACCGTCTTACATGTAGACATACCACTTACGTTGCCCACCAGGTACACAACCATGAGCATCAGCAGTGCCAGCTTCATTGTAGCAACCTGACTGTAACCACTTAGGTGCTTTAGTTCTTGGCTAATCCTCCGTCACCTTTTCTTTCACTGCCTGCCTCCAGCCAGGGATGCTCAGGGAATAGTGAATCACTCCGTGAAGAGTTGTGACTGACGCAAAGTGTTTACACACGACAGAACAATTAAAGTAGTGTGGAAAGTTCAGGACTATCCGGTGCCACCGCTGTCGCTACTGCTGTGAAAACCACCTAACACTTGTGACTTCTTTGCATAGAAGCAGGTGGAGAGAATCCCAGTGGGCAGACAGACATTGAGCGATGAGCCAGCCACTGACTCAGCCACACAGGTAACACAATGACGTCCTAGACATTCAAGTGAGTCCAGAGCGGAGCTGTCAAATCCTCATCCGAACATGCAAACAGACAGCGCCCCCAAGACTCAGAACACCTCTACAGCACCCATCAGTCCAAAACAAGCTACCAACACTCAAATACTCCACAGAGCCGGTTCTGTATTCACACACCAACTTGTGACTGATTTTTTTTCAAGCCTCTCTTTACATGTCCCCAGAGACAAGCAAATCTGAAGGGGGCTGTACAACACTCAGAATGAATGAGTGGTGTTGGCAGAGTTTAACTTACTTACATTCGAGGCTAAGGCTTTTCAATGGACACAGCTTCCTGTCCTCTTCGACCCACAAGGTTTCTTCAAAGATCACTCAGGACTATTCTGTTCATAGATGTAATGTGTACTGCCTCTGTTAATGTCTCGAGGAAAGAGAAGATAGCGATGATACGTCCTGTGCTGAAAGTGTAAAAAGGCCTTCCTTTTTCTCAGTTTTTGAAGTTTGATCAGATGACCTCTGGCTTCCCTTACAGCCGAGATAAAACTCTCAGGGGCTTTGTATCCACAGTGAAGGAAAAGAAAGTATGATGTAGTATTTAAAGATCTCACTTCCACTAACTTTCAACAACAGTCACAAACCTATGCAGTCGAGAAGAAAGAAAGAAATTTCCCTACAGTAAAACATTTGACAAACTTGTACGCTCTCCACTCTGACTACCTCTTTTTAGCACTAACAGCATGTGATCTGTGTACAGCTGCAGTTCACTAGAATTTGCTTTCAACGCCTCCGACTCATGCCTACTTCACAGAGAGAGCAGCTGTCTCTCTATCTGTGTCATTCTCAAACACAATAATACGATAGTGTATCTTCTCAAGCCTGAGATCAGAACAGCTACCAGGAGATAAAAACACAGCAAAACTCTCCTTCTGTCAGCGAAAAACTCTCCTGTAACAAAAGATTAAGTTTGACAAACCTTCCTTTTAAATGAGTGTACCATCCAGACACAGCAGCAGTAACGACAGCAGTAGCGAGAGTAATAGTCCCTCTTAGCTCACGCTGTTTTGGGAATCAGATTGCTGTCTCGTCTGGGTCCTCTCTTCCCTCTATCCATCCATCGGTGTCACCTCGTTTATGCCCTCTACAGCTCCGTCACACCTCCCCTCTTGAGCCTCCTCTGACACAACTCCCTATTCACACCTTTGTATAACTCCCTGCCTTTCTGCTTGTGGGCTCCCTCTCTCCTAGTGCTTGTCAGAGCTTGCTGGTGACAAAGTGATTTGTGGGAGCTCTGAGCACAGCTAACTTTTCTCTCGCACTCCCTCGCTCTGCCTCTTTCTCTCTCTCTCTCTCCCTCTAACTCTTCTCTTTTTTTTCTGGTTCCTGTTACTCGTCTAATAGAGCGAGGAGCTCTCCGCCCAGGAAATGAGGGTAACGGCCGCAGTGTAAAACATCTGCTGTTTAACAGAGTTGTGCTGCCTGCCTCCTGTCCACATCAGGAAGCCAGGAGCTGAACACGCTGAATTAGTGACTTTAGAGACACCAGTTCTCTCTCACACTCTCTAGCCTGTCTGAGATTGAGGCAATGATGACTGACAATGTCAACAAGCCCTGCATGGCACTAGTGTCTCGCCAACCGACCGCCACATTTACCTGGTGGCTGTGAAGGGTGAACGCCTGCCAGGCCAAAGAACTGAGGCACTTATGGGACAAGCCGGTCTAAAAGTAGAAGGGTGAATTTCAAGGGATGGAAAGCCAACAGGGCAGGACTGTGTGGTGCACTGCCCTTGGTCTGGGTGCTTTTTAGAGGTTGGATTGTGTATTTTCAAAAGGAAGGCCAGACTAAAACAAACCGGTGATGGTTTCAATCATTTTGTCTCTGTTTGAAGGATGATCCAATGCGGAGATATAAAGATAGTAAATTGCCATTGTAGTCTTTTTTTTTTTTTTTAGCTTTTGCCCAAATGGCTTTCCCATGGGTGTCTATTGTCGTCCATTGACTGGCACAGTTATGCAGAACGAGCAATTCATCTACCACTGGCAATAAATGGTGACATTAACATGAGGAAACTCAAGGCAAAAATCCCCCAAAACACCAGCTAGCTTACAATAACAACAGAACACAATGTATTGTCCTGAAGTGAGAACTGCACTATCTCTCTGATTACCGTCATGATAAGATGTTGACAGTAAAATTAGGGTAGCTATCAAATGTCAACAACTACAACTGTAACTTGTCTTGTTGTGTGTCTGTGGGAGCTTTGATGGGTGTGCACTGCCACCTAATGGTCAAAGATGGGATGTCATTTATAGGAGCTCATGATTTTCCTTTTGTGGTTGCCGTCAGCCATCGACCTCAAGACTCATGTTTAAATATTTTGTTTATATTTTCTCATACATGTTCGTATTTCTATCTATATATTCTTTTTGCTTACATAAAATACATGTGCAGTATAAATGTATGCTGTCATTATAACAGTAGGATAGAGAATAGTCACAACAGACATAATTACAGATCTTATCCTTGTATCACATTGTCTCAAAGACAAAATAACATTAGCAAAATTAGAAACGAAAAATCTTGCACACACCCAGAGGCTTTTCCTTGATGAAATTAAACTTAAGGAGCATTTCCTCTTTCACTCCTTTAATCAGAGATGTATTCTGTGACAGAAATAAGGACTGTGTGCTGTCAGACAAAGAAAATATGAAAGCTGTATTAGCCGAACAGAGGAAACCAGGGAACCGATGTACTAAATTTTGCTGTGACAACACGTTCCAAGTATATGTTCTGACCTATTTTCTCTGTGCTCCACTGGTCTTTTAACATTGGCCTATGAACATAACAGGCATGAGCCTTACTGACTCCGTACAACCAACAGGTCTCACCAGTCTGCCATGCGGCATTTCATACCCTTCACCACAAGGCCCTGATGCCAGCACCTCGAGGTGTCTGTGTGTCTCTGAGCACAAGAGTGCAACAAGGTCTGCTTTCCCATCATTCACTGTGAAGTTCTAAATGTGTGATTCTGCAGAGGATCCCACAGAGCTGTGGCAAGCCCCAAAGTCTTTGAGCCAGACGAGCCGAGGGAGGATGCTGGGAGAAGAAATATTCACAGTCAACAGAGAGAACAGTAACAGTCTACAAGTCATGTTACCACATCAGAACTGGTCCAGCATATTTAGGTAAGTAAAAGTAGAAGTACACCAATGCAAAAAATACTCCACAACAAGTACAAGTCCTGCATTCAAAAGCTTACTCAAGTAAAAGTATGGTCTCATCAGCTAAATGTAAAGTTAAGCAGTTGAATGAATACTGTCAGTGTTATATTATCATAGAGCCTATTCTTAGATTATTATTGCATAAACGTGCATTTTTGCTGTAGCGCTTCCAGCAAACCTCTGCCAAAACAGCAGATCGTCATTTAAAGGCTAACGGTCCCATGTACAAACAAAAATAAAAATAAATAAAACAGTAGTAGAGTGAGACTTACCTGCGGTTCTGGAGTCCGGTTTGAACTTGTACATGCATTGTCCAGATATGGATCCTGTCAGGTTTCTGAATGTTAATAAATCAAGCGCACCTTCTTCTTTTTTGTAGCTACTGTCCATTGTAACACTGCACATAGATAGATAGATAGATAGATAGATAGATAGATAGATAGATAGATAGATAGATAGATAGATAGATAGATAGATAGATAGATAGATAGATAGATAGATAGATACTTTATTTATTCCCTAGGGGAAATTCAGGTGTCCAGCATTTATTGCGTTTCTGGCTACATTAGTCGGTCGGAAAACAAACGGTCGGGGTGCTTAACCACCTCACCTGTCGGCCACCTGTCTCCATGGATACAACGCACGTGTATTCGCATGCGTTCTAACGTACGTAGTCAGCTCTGTGAATTGGTATCCAGTGCTGCGTCTTGTTGCTGTTGCTCTTTTCTGCGCAGTTTCTAAGGGGTAAGTTAAACATCGTAATGGGCGGCCGATTATTTCAGTGTGTGCGAATGTAGGAGACAGAGTTTCAGCATGAGGAGTGAGTAAAGATGAAGACTGAGACTGAGTGAGTGGACTGTACTGAAGGGAAATACTAAAGCAGACAGGGTTACTAGGGGTGACGACGCACAGGACAAGGAGACAGCGGAGAGAGTAAGTGAGTAAACAGTAGCAGAGAGAGAGAGAGAGAGAGAGGGTGAGAGACCTCTATAACAATAATCCCCAGTGAAGTTACTGAAGTTATACGTGGCTACGCTCACATATATGTCGCTTTGCGGACTTTTGGTGGATTTAAATCACCCGCAGACTCGCTGCTGACTTGTCCATGAAGACCCTGTCAGATTGTGGACAGGTGAGTGAGCCTACCAGCCTCAGGCTGTGATCGTGAGTAGGTTTTGTATACAAACAACACGCGTCTTCTGGACTGTGGGATTATCTCTCAGGTGTCACAGGTTTTGTCACACCTTTTGAAGAATAATAAAAAAAAAAATCCTTCGATCAGTTTTCTAAGGCGACTGTGTCCCAGTGGAAATAAACACCACAGAAGTGCATCTATTGATGTTATACTACTTTATTTTACTTTACTTTTACTTTTTTGAATGAAGTTTGAGAAAACTTTTTGCCTTTTGACAGGTGACAGCTTCTGACTGCCCAATGGAGAAATATGAAAAGCTGGCCAAAATCGGTGAGGGCTCCTATGGAGTGGTGTTCAAATGCAGACACAGGGATACTGGACAGATAGTAGCCATCAAGAAGTTTGTGGAATCTGAAGATGACCCGGTCATCAAGAAGATAGCATTGAGAGAAATACGCATGCTGAAGGTGAGCAGAGACTATTATCACCCTCTACTATCAGGTTTGTTCACACTGCAGGTGGATATGTGCAGGCACACAGGTACACATAAATGCTGACACAGTGTCCATATTCTCTGTTGGTCCTGCAGCAGCTGAAACACGTGAATCTGGTCAACCTGCTGGAGGTCTTCAGGAGGAAAAGACGGCTCCACTTGGTGTTTGAATTCTGTGAGCAGACGGTCCTCAATGAGCTGGACAAACACCCACGAGGGTAGGTCAGGGGCAACACAGCACTGTGTGCAACAAAACTGTCACCTCCTTACATGTTTGTACGTGTTCACTCTCTGTAAGCTGTTCTTCATTAGAGCAGTGACTTCTGGGAGATACTGAAGGGCCATATACATAGAAGCTGAATATAATCATTCACTTTTTATTCTCAGAGGTCTATCAGGTAACCTCTCTGAGAATCCATGACAAAATGTAAAAAGTAACCAAGCTCATTTCCTCAAGTACTAAAGGTACTTATACTTTACTTGAGTGCTATCATTTTATGCTACTTTATATTTCTATTTGGCTACATTTCAGTTTTTTAGACCACTGCCTTTCTGTAACTTCTAGTTACTTTGCAACTAAGATTTTGCCTTTTGCCTTTACGCAGCCTTGCTGTTGCATAAGTGGTACTTTTACTTTTGATACTTTAATTATATTTTGCTGATAACCCTTCTGCATCCGTACTGAAATACAGTTTTAATGCAGGACCTTTAGTAGTAATGGAGTATCTTTAGATTTTTATCTAGTTTTAATTCATCTGTTTACCCTGCAATTTAGCAAAGAACTCACTGTTTGCATTTATTCATTATGGGCACTGCCCAAACAGCAGCAGAAAGGAGCAGGCTGAATTACAAAGAGGGAGTAAAGACTGTTGCCAAGAGATTTCAAAGACATGGAAATGCCAGCAGCAGAGTCAGGGAGGAGCAGCTCAATCTAAAGCAAAAGATTAAAGTATTTAGGGAAAATGATTCTTCTCTTTGCTCCATGCTTTGAGCACACCTCATTCCATCTATGGTCATAAGATAAGATTTTAGTTTCGTTTTTGTCATGTGAAGTCACATAGCAAGGCTAAGCTACAATGGCTACTTGCTGTCTGACCATTTTCCTTTTTCTCTCAAGGCTGTGCAGCAGAAACTCTAGCTGCGCCTGAAAACAAAGGCGCTGTTGCTGTTAGAGATAGGACTAGAGTTACCTAGGTGACAAGAGGGTTGTGTAAAGCACCACTTCTTTTTTTAAATTGTGGGAATAATAGATGACGAAAACTTGTGTTTTGTTTCTCTTACAACAATCAGTATTCCTTTGCCTGTTGTTCTCTGCAGGGTACCCGAGGCTCAGCTGAAAAGTATAGTGTGGCAGACTCTGCAGGCTGTTAACTTCTGCCATAAGCACAATGTCAGTATATTTTATTTTATATTCTCTGGGGTTGTAATATAGGTTTGGGGTTTTCAGGACTAACTTGGAATAATACTCTCATGACATTACATTGAAGTTACTGGTCTCTGTAATCATTTCCTCCTCTCCATACTGGCCATGAAGTTATCCATTTCTAGTGTGACTACACAGTAAAAGATAGGGGACAAAGTCCACAGCTTCATGTTAGCCGAAGTTGACTTTAAAATGCATTTTTTTAAAGAGCAAGTATTGTGAATTTTGTCCAATATATTTTACAGAGCAGTTGAAAAGGAGAAATGTCTCTAGGAACAAATAACTCTCTACCTTTGGCATCTGATTATTGTTTTATAATAGAATCTAACTACCTGAGCACTTTTAAGCTGAATCAGTGAAATTACTATTAATCATTATTATATCATGGTAATACTGTTTGCAAGAGCAATCTTATTTTAGTGTAGAGTGTATGTTGATATTATATACAGTAGGGTCCAAAAGTCTCAGACCACTTTCAGGCCAGAATGGGAACATAGACATGTTTAAAATGATTGAGAATTAATAAGAAAAATATATATAAACATATAGAATTTTTATATACATGTTGTTTTAATAAACTTGCATATATGAATTAAATATATATTGTTAACATATATGGTCACAACATGTTACACCATATAAAAATTCATCATATTTGTAATATATGTACATATAATAACATATCCCCTTATAGGGCCGTATATATCATATATTACATTTCTGTGTGGGTAGTTAACTTGCTCACTGTGGCTCCTTGCTTGAAATATGTTTAAATCCCAGGGCCGTGCAAAACCAGCTCATATCTGACAGGCTCTTTTTTCAAAACAAAATATTAGCTTGGAAAACTTCTGAGAACTGACTGAAGCTGTCCATCAGGAGCCCAGGTTTCAGTATTAAAATGTGTATAGTTGCTATTGTTCTTCCACATTAATTCCTATTCTAGTCAGCATTAATATAAGCCTCTTTCTGTGTCACTAAGAGTCTGTGTATCATGTTGCCTAAATCCCTGATCCCTAAGCCTTTATGTTGCAGTGCATCCACCGTGATGTAAAGCCAGAGAACATCCTCCTGACCAAAACCGGAGTCATAAAGCTCTGCGACTTTGGCTTCGCCCGCATTCTGAGTAGGTCATCCAGAGAGCCAGTGCTTTATGTGCATTTAGTGTTAATGCTCCTCTAATGACTTATTCAGCACGGAACCTTTATCATCTCCTACTGATCTCCTCCTCACTTTCAGTGTTTCAATAAATGCATTGCAAAGGAGGAGCATCCAGCCAGTTAGTGCGTCTCTGTGTAGCGTGTCTCTGTTTACCCTCCCTGCCTTAGGTTTCAGTGTTATGTTACCATACATTAACATGTAGTCAATCAGCATGCCTTGTAATCCCTTCCTCTACAATGTACTTGTTATTTAGTGTTCATTATTCAGTATCTTAAGTGTGTATTGTGTCCATTCAAGTCATCTGTGTGTGTGTGTGTGTGGTTGCTATACTCAGCGGGACCAGAGGATGACTACACGGACTACGTAGCGACCCGCTGGTACCGGGCCCCGGAACTGCTGGTTGGAGATACTCAGTACGGGCCTCCTGTGGACGTGTGGGCTCTGGGCTGTGTCTTTGCTGAGCTGCTCCACGGGAATCCACTCTGGCCCGGGAAGTCTGACGTCGACCAGCTCTACCTCATCCGAAAAACTCTAGGTACACCGATGAATAATCTACCTATGGATGCACTTGCACAAATTTAAATGCATAATTATGAAGGTCACTATACAGATCACATGACATTACTTGACAGGTCCCAAGATTAGCAGATGGACTTACTCATAGCTCAGTTTTTAAATTCATGATAGAATCACGAAAAAATAATCACACACTGCTGTGGTTTGATTCTTTTGCTTTCACATCACAAACAAACTGCAGCAGTTAGCTTGAAAGCAGATCTGCCTTTTCCAGCAGTCATTGTACCGTTGTTTGGTCACCTGACAGCTTTCATAAGCTAACTAAGACCTAACGGGAAAATGCAGCAGAGTTTGTTTGAACTGGACCAGTAAGGTTAGGTGTGAAAGAGCCTTTAAGAAACATGGGTAGGAAACTCTTTTACAATCCTTTTACAATACAAAACTTCTCTTGTGGGTTTGTTGAATCAGTATAGAAATCAGGCCTTGCTACTTTATTTTGAGTACACCAGTGACATGAACTATGGATGTTTTAGATCTTAGTTCAACTTTCGCTTAAGGTTTGTAAACCATTTACCACATGCAGCCACTGATGCAAATTTTGGCAGCGGATGAAGATTCTGATTCTCTCGTTTCTGACCTCAGGTGACCTGATCCCTCGTCACCAGCAGGTCTTCCGCTCTAACGTTTTCTTCAGTGGAGTCAGTATTCCTGAGCCTGACACAACGGTACGAACCCACTGTTACAACTGGGAAGGCATTATGTTGTTACCGGAGAGGTGATGGAGTGTGGTGAAGGTGTAGTTACTCCCCATTTGTTTGTGCTCTTAGGAACCCTTGGAAAAGCGCTTCCATGGAGTGTCCCCTCACGCCCTGCAGGTTATGAAGGTATGTTATGTTTATGTTTAATAGATACGAACCCACTGGGAATGACTGGTATGCAGTATATGTTGGCCAATAAGTAATAAAAAAGTACAGAAAAGCTACTGCCATTACATACTGTCAGTCACAATACTTTAATAATCAAAATTAAGGTATCCTTTTAGAAAAATATTATAGTCGTTTTTAGGTTAATAAAGGAGTATTTGGGTATTGTATCTGCCAATGCGTCATGCTAACTCTGTACATCTCTGTGTTGAGCAGTCATGCCTGGTGATGGACCCGTCTCTCCGGCTGTCCTGCGAAGAGCTGCTGGAGCTGCACTATTTCCAGGAAGAAGGAGGACCCAACTGGGTCCGCGAGGGTGAGCGCCCAGGAAGACGACACGACAAAGGCACCCGGCGCAGACAGGCAGGGGTAAGTATGAAACATGGTGGCTTAGGGTTAATCCTGTAAGAAATCATTTCCTAAACCCCAAACCTACACCTAACCTCCACCTGCTTTAAACCTGGGTCATCCATCTGTACCCCATCCAAAATCAGCTTTTCTTTATCTATTATATATTATTATGCTCCAAACTGTTAAAGTATGATACACAGCTTACATTTGTCGGTAATGTGAGAGCTGCTTCCAACAAGCTACTTCCTTACTATTGCCATAGATTGTCACTTGCATGAGTTCAGACTGATCACAGCTGCTGATCTCTGAGATAGGAAACTACCAGCTTTTAGCAGCCACAAGGACAAGGACAATTCCTCTTACTGCATTTTTATCACTAGCCACCCTGTCGGAGCATCATCAATTAAAAATTGTTTGAGATGTGCACAGAGGATAGCTCATGTGGTTTACTCATGGGATCTTTCCCTCTCTCCCTTTCTAGGCGCAGTACCTGCCTCAGTTACCAAACAGCAATATCTCACCAGCACCAGATGTCAAGAAGCAAGTGAAGCATAAATATCACCTGCCCAACATCTAACAAAGCAACAAACTGGTCTACAAGTTTGTGCCTGAACTGAAAGAACATGGACGCTTCGTGCAATTATCTGAATACAGTTTAATTTGAATATACTTATACACTGGGTGTGAATGAGAAAGTATTTTTAATTCTGTGATCACGTTCACTCGTCCACAGACATCATCATTTTATATTCTTTACATAACAAACAACAGTTAGGGGGCAGCTGCAGGTTAGGCAACACACTACGATTACCAAAGAATGCACACTCCATGTGGTCAGTGCTGAACACTGTTTGCACCAAACACAATGGGCGCTGCATTTTAACACCTCTATAAGAATCATATAAAATATCTTCTTAGAATCACCAGTGTGCCATCATCACTTGGACATGAATACCGGAGTTTTATTGTTTTCTGCAGCAACTGATTCCCACACAGGTTCATACTGGCCATCGAATATGTACAATGTAATACTGTAGGATTAATCTATTCAACAAGCGAGTCAATAAAACACCATTTCAGTTGTATTTATGTTCTGATACGTTTCATTATAAAAATATGATGATTAAATGCATTTAGCTTTAGGTTCAGTAAACATATTTTTCATTTTGTATTATAAAAAGGAACTGATGTGTAACTTCCTGACTCAGTCTTGTTAAGGTCTAATACAAGCTGCCATGAAGGCTGATACGCTACGTAATTTGATGGGTTCTAATCAAATCGCAGCCCTAGTCTTCGACAACGATCCCTGAAGTCTGACATGGATGTCCACTCTGTTGCTCAGACACAAGACAGTGATACACTGGAACATGCATCAACACACTGACAGCCTGACACACCGCTTGACTGATCACCTGACCTTGAACTTATCAAATTACTGACGCAACTCCTTGTTATACCTCACTGTGCTGAGGGCTGTAAACCTGCAGGTTAAGGCCCTACAGCTGGTCTCAAGACGATTGATGGAATTTGAGTAAATATGAGGTATTTCTTGTTTTATCAGTAAATTAAGCATGAAGATAACTGTATACTGATTTATAGTGTGATTCATCCAGTTTTCTTCAAAAGCAAACTAACCCAGAAAAAGTAAATGCAGTCAAATGTATGTGCACTGTGTATTCTGGGTGAGAAAAAAAGAGAAGCACCATAATGACAAACAGGAAGCGAGGTATTAAGTGAGACAACCTTTCAAAAAACTTTGGAAAAGCTTTTTAACATTTGGCAAATGTGACTGTTACACTGTAAAATAAGGCACTGGCACATAGAATATGTGTAAACGCGAAGAGAAGGTGGTCAGACAAGACTATTTTGGTGAAGTCATGGCATATGTCAAAGTTACAAGCACAGGAGAAAGAAATATTTGTGTTTGAAATTGTTTGGAATTAAGTCCTTTGATATCAAATAATCCACTTTTCAGAGGTTGAGGGTCAGATGAAAGGCTGAAAACAGCGGACCGTGCCGTCACCGAGGCGTGGCGATGATGTCGTACCTGCGAGGCACATTGGCAAAGCCACTGCACTCAGGGCTGAGGTCTACACCGTCAGGTCCTCCAAGGCAAGAGAAGGTGAAACGCTGCAAAAGTGACACCAAGAAGAGGAAGATCTCCATGCGAGCGAGGGACTCCCCGACACAAGATCTCTTTCCTGAGAGATAACCACAAACCAATGAGAATGAAAATTAAAATTTATTGTAGGGACTGGGTTTATAATTAGCCTCTTCAGCTCGGAGCTTAAGCATGACAACACTAAAATCTGCTAAGCAAGCAGGTCCAATGTACAGCTACATTGTCTGAGCAAAATCAAAAGGGCAGTTACTAAATAATTTACCTGCAGAAAATGGCAGGAATGCAGGATTTTTCTTAAAATTGCCATTTTGGTCCAGGAAGTGCTGGGGGTTGAAGGACCATGGGGTTTCCCACTGTTTTTCCTCTTTCAGCACAGAGTGCAACAAGGGAATAATCACTGTATCCTGTTGAGACAAGACGTCATATCAGATGGAACATGTTGTGTTTTCTGTATCAATAACAGTGTGATGAAACTAGAATACCTTAGGGATTGTGTAACCCCTGAAAGAGATGTCCTGGAGGGAGTAGTGAGGGACGCTAAAGGGGACAATATCCATTAGACGCTGAACTTCATGGAGTACTGCATCTGTAAAGGGGAGGGACTTCCTGTCCTCCATAAAAGGACAACGCTCCTGTCCAATCACAGCATCAATCTCCTGCTGCATGTTCTCTTCAGAATGAGGAAAACACAGGTATTTAACTAGTGCAGAAACACTTAATTAATCAATTAGTAAATCAGTTCTCATGAATCATTTAAGTGATTCATAAAGCAAAAACACCCTGCCAACATTTATTAATTGATTCTAGCTTTTATATTTCACACATGCTTGAAATTCATCTCTGGAGTGAAGTACAGTGAATGTATGTAACAACAGAGCACAATGTCAAACTTGTAGAGCTCAAAATGCTCATCAGCATTCATCAACATTACATGCAACCAATGACAAGAGCTACAATGTCCTGAGTCTATTAAAGAATATTTATGTGAACCTACAATGATCATTGTATAATCAAGATGTGTTTAAAAGAAAGAAGGTTAAAAAATGTATTTAATGTAAAAAGTCATTAGACCAGTTTCTAGATTCTCTTTTAGACTGGTTTCCACTGGTTGAGACCTACCCTGTATTTTGGGGTATTTGATCAGCACAGTTATTGCAAATCTGATGGTGGAGCTGGTGGTTTCTGTTCCTGCCAGGTACAGATTCAACACTGTAGACACTAAATTGTCATAGTGGAACTCGGTTGTGGGAATGTGCTTTTCCTTAAAGGACAAAACGAAAACCATTTGACCGTTATGACAATACAACTTGCAGGATCAACATTCAAGATGTTAAAACAAGAGAGTTCCTCTGTGCACATAGTGGTCTGAAGTTCTCAGCATTTGCAGAACTCTCTTACATTATATACTCTATGTGAGTTAGCATGCTGACTGTTAGTTCACAGAGGCTTATTCTGGTTAATTCTCTGCCATACCTGACCGAGTCTCATGAGGAAGCAGTCGATGTAATCTCTGGGTGAGCTGGGGTCCAGCGTGTCCTCATGTTCCTGGATCTTTTTCATGGTAAACTCTCTCACCTCTTCAATTTTGGCAAACATATTGTGATGTCGACCCGGCACCCATTCCATCAGCCGAGGGAAGATATTATACATCTGTGATGTCGGGGGGGGGGGGGGGACTCACTGAATAATGTATTAGCTGAGTAAGAAGTACCTGCCAACCTTTGGTATTTGAGGTGTTACATAGAAAAAGAAGCACTGACCCTCACTGCATGCAAACCTCAAATCATTCCCTAAGGGTCTGACTGAAAATAAATCACCACCAAAAAGAAAGAAGAGTTTTTCTGTACCATGGCAACTGTACTTTTGCAGGAGGAATTGAACATAATAATGGGTTAAAGAAAACAGAAACAGGCAAAACACAACCAAGTGAAGCAAACATGCTATTTAGTTTAACATATACTGAACATCACATTTAGAAAAAAAAAAACTGCAATAAAATTGAGCAAATTAAACAAAATTACCAATTTGACAAGTGCAAACACAAACCTACAACGATGCTGCGCTTCAAACACAAAAGACTTAATACAAAAGGATTTAATAAAAATGTAATGCCAGGTGTTCAGCCAGTATCTCCAACAGTATCTGAATGATTGGTGAATGTGCTTGTTGCTTGTGCTTTATGCAGCATGCGACATCTCTTTCTAATCAGCTATAGAAGTTATTGCACTTATAAATGAGCTAATGGTGAGGTTCCTTCAGTATTAGTAAATATCAGATCATTAATTGCTCATTTAATGCTGGAGGATTTTGCTCAAAAGCACAAAGGTTCACCCTAACCACCATCCCACCCACCCAACACGCTGCTTCACATTCTCTGCACCACCTCCTCCTCTTACCTGACCCCAGGGACTGCTGATAAATTTCAGGACTTCTGAGATTGTCTGCAGAAGGTGGAGGAAGTGATCATCATCATAGCTGAAGCGCTGACCAAACACCAAGCAGCAGATCACATTGGACACAGTGCAGCTCAAGAAGTAGGTTGGATCAAAAGGTGTAGCTGGACCAAAAAGAAGAAAAAAGTGCTCATTACATGTTCAGTGTGACCTGTGGCTTTGGACAATTAGAAAAGAGAACTTAATCAAAATCATTTCACTGCCTGGGAACAAATCTTAAAATATCATAAACATATAATACTGCCATCATTAGGAAGAGAATCAGCAACTGATGCGATCATTCACACTTATTCAAAACTGTAGGTAAACCTCAGTGTTTTAAAAGATTTTATAGGTTTACAAGACATTTTATAAGATGGCTAATTTAATTTAGCATTCTTTCTGCACTAATAGGACACATATTAAATGATTAAATAAAATGTGCTCCTGCAGAGAGGAAAAGGATCAATTGTGGTATCAATAATACCATCAATAATCACATATTCATAAACTCTCAGTGTGATTTCAGTGAACAGATGACATTTCATCCTCCTACATGTTCTGCAGAAACTACCTGATGTTAACAGTCAGGCTTCTGACTACATAATAACAATGCCTTAAATGTGCTACTGTATTGCATAGACTTTCCATTTAGACAGCATATACTACTACACCATCAGCACGCTTGAATGAATAACTTCAGCTTGGGGAATCAACCATCAAATACTTATGTACGTGATAAAAGTATGATTGAAAGCTCCAGGACAGATACTAAATGGACCTTGTGATAAGATTGTAACAAATTAAATTTCAGTCTCAACTACATCAAAGTTCCTGTTTACAAGGATGGCAATGATGAATTGGTCTCAGGCAAAACATCATCCCCCGTCAATACAAAATTTGAGATACAATCATTCAGGATGAATCTGCATCCCAGTTTACCCCAATTTGCCTCGTGGTATCACACACATTAGCTTGCTCTCAGATGAGTTTTGGCAGTGAGAATAGAGAGAGAGAGATCTGTTCCTGCACATTTAAATCTGTATATCGGGGCTGTATATATATCAACAGAGCAAACACACACACAAGGCTTGCACAGTCATTCTCACACGTACATACCTTTGGTACTGTTTATGCGGGCCACCAGATGCTTGCTCTCTTCCTGGATCCACTCTTCCATCCCCTTCCGTCCCATTCCAAAGTCTCTTAGGGTTGTGAGGGTGAAGCGTCGCAACTGCCGCCAGCGATCTCCATTACTGATCCCCAAACCTTTGAAAAAAATGTAGAAACTCATTATAAATCATGATAAACAACCCTTGCCACATCGAGAAATGCTCAAGAACAGACAGGAAGAGGAGTACAGGGATCTGACGATGGCCTTCAGTGAATGGAGCGACAAGAACTGCCTCCTTCTGAACACCTCCAAGACCAAGGAGATGGTCATGGACTTTCAGAGGTGTGGGCCCACCCTTCAGCCAGTCAACACTCGAGGGAAGGACATTGAGGTGGTGCACACTTATAAATACCTAGGTGTGCACCTGGACAGTAAACTGGACTGGTCCCTGAACACGGAGCCGGCTCTTTTGCCTCAGGAGGCTCAGGTCCTTTGACGTCCGCAGTGAAATGCTGCACATGTTTAATCAGTCAGTGGTGGCCAGTGGACTCTTTTATGCTGCAGTCTGCCGGGGCAGCAGCATGTCAGACACGAAACCAAGGAGACTGGACAAGCTGGTAAGAAAGGCTGGGTCTGTGCTCGGGATCAATAAAATATCTATCTATCTGGCCTCCACCTACAAAAGAAACAGGCAGTTCCACTGTCTGCACTGATATACAGTCAGTAACACTGTTGGGGCGGTAAGGAGCAACAGGTCACTGTCTTCAAATTTTAAGCCAGAAGAAATCAGTGAAACAATGATGTGCAGCCCAGTATTAAGGACAGAGAAAGTCCTGCTCAAACATGTTGACGTGGTACACATATCATCACAAAAATCCCATATTACCATAGCCCTTGGTGACTCTGATCAGGAAAGGAAGAGGAACTCTGCCACTGAAGTCATCTGCCTGGTCCACCAGTGCCTCCTTCACAGCATCATACCCCACCAGAACCACAGTGCGCTGACGGCCCAGGTACACAGTCATCACAGGGCCATAGGTTTCACTGAGCTGGAGGTAAAACAAAGCAATAAATATGCACTGGATTCTTGACAGGGCATGCAACGAGCAAGACAAAGCAAACACACCCAAAGTGCACAGCAGTGAGCAAAAGGGGAATCCTGGGAATCTTAGCAAACACATATCACTGACACACAGGTCATGCAAACATAAAACTATGACCGAGACTTAGTAAGAGAAAAATAAATGAGCTGAAGTACACTTGAAATACATATACTACATATATTTCTTTTGACAAGTGAGAATGGCAAAAACTGAACTGTGAATCAGCAGAGTAATTTAGGCATTCGAGTAGTATGACTATTTACAGACAGTGGCCAGAACAAACATACAGCACGTTACACACACAATACACTAAAGCCAAACCAAGGGCAGCAAAGCTCAATATTGTTATGTGCAGACAAGTAGGTGGAAAAACATGACAGAGCAGTCAAACCTCTCACTGTCACCTTTCGCAGAGATCTGAACGGAGCTCTTTTGTCCAGCTGAGGCAGATTCCCTACGACAGGCAGGCCTGGGGGTCCCGGAGGTAAACACAGCTGACTGCGGCTCTTCAGGCTCAACAGCCACAGCAAAGCGATGATTAGTCCCGCTAAAATCAGCGTGCCAGAGAACTCCATAATACTGCACAACAGGAGGCATCGAGCTGTGTCCTCACACAGGTCTAAGTTGTTGTGGGCCGATTATGTAACCGTGTCAGCCGCCGAACCTTTAGCCTCATTTTTTTGTTGATTTATGGAATGCGGCGTAGTAGGAAATAGAAGTTAGTAATTGTTTTTTTTTTTTCCTCGTTTTTTTTTTTATTTAATTTTTTTTTTTTAGAAAACTTTATTTACACAATGGACCTTACAAGTTCCAACAACAGTAACAAGGAAATGTGTGGTCGAGGTGCACAGATCATAATACGTAAAAAAAATAAAAAATAAAAAATTTAAATAAAGAAATAAAAATAAAAAACAATAATAAAGAAAGTTCAATCAAGTACAAATAAAAACATTCATTACATAAAGCTTTAGTTTTCACAGTTTTAGTGTTTGTACAGTATTTTAATGTGTTCAGATATGATTTTAACAAGTGCACCTGTTTCCATTTAAAGTTTCCTCAACTCAAAATTTAAAAACTTCCAATATTTCCCATCAGTTCTTTCACTTTCGGGCCATCTTTGAATACTAATTTATTGTTAAGGTTGGTGCTACTTGCAGCACAGGCAGGTCCAATGAAGGAACTTCAATAGACTGATGAGGACCAGCCTAACAGTCAGATGAATGAACATGCAGGTACAGACAACAGGTAACTACTCGCGGGTAGGGGAACACACTGGGGGGGGGGGGTAAGTGGAGCAGGGAAACTCAGGTGATTAAGAAAATAGAGAACAGGTGAGCAAGTGGATCTGGAGACAGAAAGGAAGTCTGGAGACCTCTGGTGGGTGGATGGAGTATGACAGTTGACAGTACTGGAGGGAAACGGGGTAGGGGGAGATGGCAGGTCCAGAGGAGGGAACAAGAGAGCCCAGGGACAAACCATGACCGTTATGTTAGTTTTGATAATTAAATTTAGAGATACGTTAAGTAAGAGTGAATTATTGAGCTTCCAGTAAGCTTTAACCAGAAATCTTTCAGAGTTTTTATATTAGCCATCTATCAACATGATCATTTACAGTAATATTGAAATCTCCTCCCGACATGATCTTCATACCCTTCATAAAGTTTCAAACAATTTCTTGTTTTTCTTAGCATTGTTAGCACCACAAACATTGCCAGTTAGAAAAACCTAGATTATTGTAAGAAAGAACCATGAGAATGTAGAGTCCATGTGGGTCAGCTTGAGTGAGGATGATCTTCCCACGGAATCTGTGTGTTTCTGCTGAGTGCTGATTTCCAGGCAACATCCACAAGTCCTCCCTCCACTGTGATTATAATCTTCATCAACAGAATGATTTTCCCTTTTATTGCATAAAGGAATAATGTATTTACATGTATTGTCCAGGGCCTTCTTTAAACAGAACAACTGTCACTGTAACCTGAAAGCTTTTGTGTAGAAAGCAGAACTTATCCTTCTAGCTGAATCAGTTAGTGTTTCTCCTTGTTACCCACAAAGGCGCTCCCTTTCAGTTTTTTCACAATCCTCTGGAGTAAGATCCTCCTTGAAGCAGAGATGTCTTTGCTTCAGGTATTCGGTGCTTGGACGTCTTCCAGACCATGTCAGAAAAATGTCTCATTGAGAACTGAAGGCTGACATTGAAGACTTGTGCTTTGGTTGGGTGTTTTTCTGCCAAGCCTGTGAATAGAAAAAAGTTAATCCCACATACTTCTCTTTATAGCCCAGAGCTATGTTTTGACATATCGCTCACCTTCACTCTCGCCTCCTCTTCTTTTACAGGCAGATCGAGTAGGCACAGATCCCTCCTTTTTTTTTTTTGAAGCGCACCACCTCCAAAACTTTGCTTTTCAAAAGCTGGACCTTTTCTTTGTCTTTGTATTCTAGCTTTTATGTCTTGCATGTCTGCGGAGAGAAAGTTCATTGAAGATTTGAGCCCCACAACAGACTACAATGTTGTCTGCTGTTGCTTGTTCCTTTTTCCTTTTTTTTTTGTGATAAAGGCAATTTTGTAGGAGTAACAAGTGGGTGGCCTTCACTTTTCATTTTAGCTTTGGGATGTAATATTACTGCAATTCAGCAGATTATGTCTCTGATGTGCTTCTTTGAGTAAGTTGGAGGAGCCATAACCATTCAGCCGCCATCTTGGCCTCGACCTTCTCATTACCCAGAGTAACTCAAGTTCTCGGAGTACTGAGCACATGCAGAGCCCTAAAAAACTGTTGTTGCTGCTGGTTTATTCCCAGGCTTTAGCGTCCTGAGACAGATCAGTGCATTTAACCAACCAACCAGGCGGTGGAAAAGCTCTGGAACATGAATGAACTGATGTCAGTACTGGAGCCTGGAATGGAGTAACATGCAGGTATGTCTATTATTCCTAAATGCTCTCCTGCAGAGAACTTTGTTTCAACTTTGCTGAACATTTGCTTTTCTAGTGGTTGACTCCAATGGCAAAGGTAATTTATTATTTATTTATATACACACACTACTATGTAAAGGTTTTGGCCCTAATACTTTATTTTGCAGGCCAGTGGGAGTGTGTGCTCTTCACTATTTAATTGCTCTTCCTCCAATCAGATTCTATGTTGAATTACAGTATATGTAGTATAAAGAGGTGTATAGAATTTTTCCTCTGCAGGAACAATCGTGTATATAGTGATATTTACATTTGTGTAAAAGTGGTACATGTAAGGGGCGCCTCAGTGGCTCACCTGGTAGAGAGTGTACCATTAGGACTGGGCTCGAATCTGACCCATGACCCCTTGCTGCATGCCCCCCCCCCCAACCTTCCTGTCACTCTCTCTCACTGCTACTCTAATAAAGGCATAAAAAGCCCCCCCAAAAAATAACTTTAAAAAGTAGAACATGTGGTAATAATAACAACAAAACATTTTTATAGAAGTAATTTACTTTTGTTGTGTAAGAGAGCATGTTAATACAATTAATACAGGCACCAATAACTGATTGAAATATATACAAAAAGAAAAATACATATGAAAAGACCATCTTAAAAACCCTTCAAAATTGTGCTTGGGGAGTAGCTGTTCTTTAAATTCTAAGTCTGATGGGCTGTCTGCTATATCACAGAGGTAACAGCAAATATTCATCACAGCAAAAGCCACGTATGTTGTATAGAGATTCTTGTGTGTGACTCAGAGTGCTTTAAGCAATGACAGACGGTCTGAGTGGAGCTCCTCTTTTCACCGTGGCGTGGCGATGATCTGGTACCTGCGTGGCATATTGGCAAAGCTGCTGTACTCTGGGATGAGGTTTATACTGTCCGGGCCCTCAGTGCAGGATACGGTGAAATGCTGCAGCAGCGACACTATGAAGATAAAAAGCTCCATACGAGCCAGAGACTCGCCGATGCAGGCTCTCTTTCCTGTGAAGAGACAGTCACAGACAAAGCACTGTATGATAAAAAAAAAATCTTTTCTTGTGATTGTGAAGGGCAGTGAGTGAGATACTTTATATAGCACAAGGTAACATGGTTGTTAACATGGTTGGCCAGCAAGTTAATAGCACGTTAACTGGTGATTTATAAACTAACTATGGACTGTGTTTTACCTGCAGCAAACGGCAAGAATGCAGGATTTTTCTTAAAGTTGCCATTCTGGTCCAGGAAGTGCTGGGGGTTAAAGGACCAGGGAGTTGCCCATTGCTTTTCATCTTTCAGCACAGAGTGCAACAAGGGAAGGATCACTGTATCCTGTAGAGATAAGATGTCAAGCATTTTTTTCCCATTCAACATCATGTTAATCCATGCAACGCTGCGGGGTATAGACTCTGATGAATATGAAATCTCAGAATTGAGAATACCTTGGGAATTGTGTAACCCCTGAAAGAGATGTCCTGGAGTGCGCAGTGAGGTAGGCTGAAGGGGACGATGTCCAGAAAACGCTGCACCTCATGGATGACGGCATCTGTGAAGGGAAGGGACTTCCTGTCCTCCATGTTAGGGCAACGGCCTCTTCCAATCACACTGTCAATCTCCTGCTGCATTTTCTCTAAACAAGGCAAAGCAAAAATGTACTCTCTGTTGTTATGAATGCTGTTAGAGCGGTTTATCTACAGGCTTACTCAGCTCTTGACCACACTGTATTTACAACTGGTAAAATAGGATGACCGTGTCTTCTGTCAGGGGACCTACCCTGTATGTCTGGGTATTTGATCAGCACACTGAGGGCATATCTGATGGTGGAGCTGGTGGTTTCTGTTCCTGCCAGGAACAGATTCATCACTGTTGACACCAAGTTGTCGTAGTGGAACTCAGTAGTGGCAACGTGCTTTTCCTGAGAGGACAAAGTGGTAATAGTGCTATAAGATGCACCGCAGAGCAAAAATTCAGATTATTAAAATGCAGTTCAAGCAGCAGGTCTCTTTTTTTTTTATTGGATCATTTGAATAACTAAACAGCAAAATCAGTCACAGCTACACCAAGAAAACAATTCTTAGTACCCAAGATAATATTAAGGAATTATTTTAATGTTTTTTGATGAGACCCTTCAGATGAAAGTGATATTGCTCAGTAGATATTGCTCACGTTCCCCAAACAAAACAAATGATCCTGACGTTCTTTCCAACCTGATTCATTCGGATGAGGAAGCAGTCGATGAAGTCCCGCGGGGAGCTGGGGTCCAGTGTTTCATTGTGCTCTTGGATCTTCATCTCGATAAACCCCCTCACCTCCTCAATCTGGGCAAACACAATGTGCTGGTGGCCGGGGAGACGCTCCATTATCCAGGGAAAGATGTTGTACATCTGTGGGAGGGAAGCCGACAGCACACCACAGCTTTGTCTCTCAGGAGATAATAATGTGAAAATGCGTTCAGGATGTTGAAATGCTGTATATGCATTTTGGGAAATTATTACTCTCTCTTAATATATCTTGAGAACACCATATGAAAAGCAGAATAAAAACATTGTATTTGGAGGACCATCAGCCGCTCACCTGACCCAGAGGGCTACTACCGAACTTTAAAATCTCAGATAGGATGTTGAGGAGGCGCAGGAACTGCTTGTCTTCATAACTGAAGCGTTGGCCAAATACCAGGCAGCAGATCACATTGGAGACTGTCCGGCTCAACAACAATGCTGGGTCAAATGGTGTAGCTGAGGAGGGGAAAGGTCTGTTAAAGGTACTCATCAAAAGAAAAAGGTGATATTGGAGAGTTTACAAAATTCACTGAGAGCATGTTTTTACCCAACATGCACAGGTTTTTCTAACACCAAAAGCAAGACGTGCAAACTCTCTCACTGGACATTTCAACAACCCGCTGTAATCAGTCTCAGAGCATCAACAGTGATCTGGGAGAAAAGTTTGCATCTTTAAAAAGATGTTTGGTTTATTACAACTTGGGTTCTGCCTTTTAATCATTTAATTTAATAATTGACCTTTATTGGTCAATATTAAATGTTAAAACATCAATCAAATGTGTAAATTCACCTCCAGTGAGACAATTCACCACACATGCTATTTGTTCAGTAGAATGCAGTTTAAAATGCCCTGTTTGTTATCTTTGTAAATCAAGGCTTTGACCGAAGCCTCAGTGTTTTAGCTGGTTATGTAACATACTCAGTGGTTACTTTGCACACAGTGCTATCAGGCAGAGATAAAGATTAAAGATTGCACAGAGGAAAATACACAGAGCAACCCAACAGAGCTTCTACACTCTCCTTTCAGTTGCTGACCAATTATCTCATGTATCACCTACTTATTTTGTGTCTGTTCAGTCTATTTTGTTAAGGTTCCAATTTGCTGTCAATTTGTCCTCTGCAGACACAATAAGTTTTTTTTTTTTTTTTTTTTTTTTTTTTTTTTTCTGCTAGAGGTGTTTATGATTAAACTTTTCTTTATTCTCAGGTTCACTTAGTCATCAGATGTAAGAGTTAGAGCTGAACAAAGTAAACTCTGCTTGACAGGTTCTGCAGTAATCCTCTTTCACATCACCCCTGTGTGAAATACGTGCGCTTACAACAACAGCTGAACACACACCTTTGAATGTTCCTATACGATCCGTCATGTGTTTGCTCTCCTCCTGGATCCACTCCTCCATGCCTCTGCGTCCCATCCCAAAATCTCTCAGGGTTGTCAGTGTGAAACGTCGCAGCTGGCGCCAACGCTCCCCGTTACCGATCCCCAAACCTGACAAATGGAAGCGTGTGCTTGATGACCAACTGGAGCCATGTGAGAGCAGCCATGTTGATACAGAGACATGAAATAAATAAATCACTGGTGCCTGGACAGAGATGACAGATTTGAAGTGTTACCATAGCCCTTGGTGGCTTTGAGCAGAAACGGCAGCGGCCCTCTGCCTGTGAGGTCATCTGCCTGGTCCACCAGAGCCTCCTTCACTGCATCATACCCTACCAGCACAACCGTCCGCTGCCAGCCCAGGTACACTGTCAGCACAGGACCATAGGTCTCACTGAACTACAAACAGACGTCATTCTTTTTAGGGTAATAAACACTCTGATTCAGATTTCTGTTATTCAATGTGAACAATGCCGAAGAGAGTTCCTGCACTCACCTTGAGAAAGCTTTTAAAAGGTGCATGTTTGTCCAGTTGTGGCAGGTTTCCTATGAGAGGAAGTGCAGTGGGTCCTGGAGGCAAACGATACTTTCGACTGTTTTTTACACTAAAAAGCCACAGTAGAGCCAAGATTAGCCCTGCCAAGATCACTGTTGCAGTGAAGTCCATAACGCTCTGCTCGTGTCTCTTCACCTGTCACTCTGTGACTGTCTCTGGTATCCTGAATATTTGCCTTTATACGTGACAGGGGGCTGGCAGGAGTGCTGCATTAGGCCACAGGTGAACCATGTGACTCTCCTGTGTACCTTATTACACTTTCACCTGATTGTTGTTTTTCATCAGCTTAAAGCCGGTGTGAAGTGAGACGGACGAAGCAAATTGTTTCAACATTTGAACTGAATTACCCACAAGCAGAAACTTGTCATGCTGACATTGTTTCCCAAATGAGAAATCACACACACACACACACACACATACACACACACACACACGCACACACACACAACTTCTCCGTACTTTCTCATTCATTGTGTACATAGCATAATTGCATTCTGCATACAAAGCAAGTAAACAACCACTGTTCTACTCCTGAAATCTAAAGGACCTTCCCCTTCTTGTCATGCCCTATAACTAATCAATCCAGTCTTTGTAACAAATAATTGGTGTCACTATTTCCTTTCAGGGAGAGAGAGCGTTGGCTGTATTGGCTGTATTACAAATGCAGAAGCGTGCGCACGTGCCTTGAGATGGAGAGAACTTCTCCTGGACAGGTAACACGGGCTGATAACTTAGTTTCCCTGTAATATCTTGTTTTTCTTTTTTTCTCTGCCTACACCAGCTTTAAATAGTTATGTAATATATGTATATTTTGCCTGCACCACTATCAGAGTGAGAGAAGGATAAATGCACTGTGCAAATCCAACAAAGCTTTCAAAGCCTCTTCCTTGGTATATATGAAATATACGGATTAACAACAACAGCTGAATTGAATGTATTTGTGGTCCATAATGTGTTCCCCCCCAATCCCATAACGTTTTCTACATTTGGTATTGTTGTTGTCTTCTCATCAGTCTCTGTCATGCTGAATTACTATATCTCTGTTTCTCAAGTATTCGCATTATGTTTTGTTTATATTTAACGGGAAGTTGGCAGGAGCACAGCATTTTGCAAGAGGTGAACTGAGGTGTGCAATAGTAATGGTTATAATAACAGCATGTTTTTTTTTTAAATTCTACACAAAATATATAAAAATATAAGTTCAGTGTAAACTTTAAAAAAGCTCTAAACTTTGTTAGACTTTGGTCTGGTTGGCAGTCATGCCAATATTGAGCAACAAGGCTTTAAGTTATATTATAGTATTCATAATATGAAAAACTGAGTGCTGTTTGTGGTTAAGAGAGAGAGAGAGAAAGAAAAGAAAGAAAGATTACTGGTCTTTTAAGCAGAAAGATTCACATTTGGAGGGGAAATCTTCTCCAGGATATCAATTATTTATTTTCATATAAGTGAAAAATAACAATTTCTTATCAATTATAGTTTCATGATCACAGTCAGTTGAGTCCTTTTTATATGTGACAAAGGAAAACAGCAAGAAAGCATAATGTGATCATGCAGATATTCCGCAACGCTTTCCTTGCCCTCAGTGGTTTGTAAGCAGGTGCTGGATGTTGATCTCAGCACATAAAGCTAATCCTGGTGCAAACACTGAGAACACACACAAACACATGTACACAATTCCACATCCAGCCCATGAGCTTATTTTTGCTGTGAGACAAAATCTCAGATAAGCACACACGGCCATTCAGACTCATCATATCCCCCCTCGTCTGCAAATCTGCTCCTTCCTTCATCCCTCCTCTCCAAACGAGGGCCCGCTGTCTGCGCTGCTGCTCCGCGCCAGCCAACACGCGGTCATGGTGACAGCGGGATTTATTTAAGAGTTCACCTTTGGACTGAATTTCATGTACGATGCTGGTGTGTGCGGCTGTTTGATGATGTGGCAATTTCTGAAAGCAGGGCAAAAGGAATTCAAGCAAAGTGACATGGAGAGAATGTGGATGAGGAGAAAATATTCACAGAGATCAAGTTATTAAAAAAGTAGAAAATGAACACAGTGATGAGACAAACAGTTGAGAAACACTATTTATATCATTCTTAGACTAAAGTTTCCTCATAAATGACTGCATTGCTGTGTGGAATCATTATCCCTCAACCTCAAGCTGTCCTGTGGCATGGAAAGAGTGATACATCACAGACAGAGTGTTCAGAGGAGTCAGGATCATGAATGATTTACCTGAGGAGCATGGGCATAAGGCCAAGAAGCACACCTTCATTAATTTATAAATTAGACATATAGATAGCCCAACGAGTGATTAATTAATAACAATGCCTTTATATTATAAAGGAATAGCAACACAGGGATCTTTATGAGAACAAAACGTCTTTGCAACAGTTTCTAGTCACAACTAAAAAGCAAATCCTCCACAGTCGAATGCATCAAAGTCGGAGTCTCCTTCAAAGTCGAAGCTGTTGAAGTGCGGGGAGTCGACGTCCTGGCTGCAGGCGTGGAAGGAGCCTCCTGCCGGGAGCTCTGAGAAGCCTCCTGTGCCGTGGGCGATCTCCGGGCCTCTGCTGGCAAGAGGAGAGGACGGGGAGCAGGAGCTGAGGTAGCCCAGAGCAGAGGAGGCCGCTGCCCCCCCCATCAGCAGGCACACCGCCCTCACTGCCCGTGCATCGCTGCTGTTGCCGTGGCGAAGACAATCTGACACACGATGAGGGGGGGCCACAGAAACACTTCGTAGAGGCCGCCGTGGTCCACTGGCTGTAAAGTAAAGTCATTTGAATAACAATATAAACAACATGCTGCAATATAGAATAAATACAGAATACAGAATACTAATACATCCCTAATTAGAGAAGAGTTGGATAGTTGTCATATTCCCTGTTTAATGTGTAGCTTGAAGTTTTGGAGATTTTTACTTGTTTGCTCTTTATTCATCTTCTAGACTGATGTTAATGCTAACGTTGGCTATGTAGCAATAGCATAAACTTACAAATAGCTCCTTAAAGCAATATGATTTATAATAACACTGAGTCAGTTTGCTATAAACCTCCTTCTCTGCAGCTGTCTTTGCATTTTTCTTTTTGTTCCCTGTTTAAACTTGTCTAACTCAAAGCAACAGAGAACTAAACTAAGAAAGAAATGGCTGGTGAGGCGTGACAGGCATTTTCCACACAGATATTTATCACAGCAGTTGGTCTGCCAGACCAGAACTCAAAGACTATTATGAAGATTAGACTTAAATTCATTAGATGGAAACAAACATGCTATGACTCCAGTGAGATGCTCATGTTGTCTGCTGGATGTGTTAGCAGAAAACTACTTGATAACATGTTAACCATAATAACTTGATGTTATCGACTTTATATCCAGATGTGTCTGTGACTTTTTTTTTTCTAGACTTCACGCTCATCATCTCACTACACTGAGGCCTCATGAAAACACAAACAGGATTAACTGTGGTGCCTGCAGATATAACTGTGATCCGCACATCTCTAATCAGGGCACAGGGTTCTTTACAAGAGCCTGAAAATCGTTTACACTGTCTTCTAAGCCAATTTTCACAGCTGTGTTTATTTCTGATAAATGTTCTGATTTCCCATGCCCCCCTGGATCTTAGTCCATGTGCCACCTAATTTAAAAAGTCCTAGACTCGCACCTGCTCTCAGGCATCGTACTACATTCTCAAATGCAGTTCAACTTGTGATTTGCACCACTGCTACGTAACTACGGACGACCTGATAGCGGACCTTGGTTTTGGCCTCTGTCTCTGAAGGAGCCTCCCCGTTCAGTGACCCGAGACAGAGGAGGAGTGGCCTCACCGACCCTGGGTGACCCGGGGTCTTTGTCGCTGGAGGAGTCGGGCAGGGGGTCTCTGTCGGTGATGCAGGGAGTGATGCTGCGCTGTCTCTGAAGAGTCAGGGGTGACATAACACCCTAGGCAGTGACACAAACACATCGCAGAGGTATGTAACTGTGTAACAGTAACACAAAAGAATAATATATTCTGAAAACACACAAAGAAGTCCTTTAGTTACATATTCTTCACTGTTCCAGATATTATTAGACATATAAACACAGTACTAGAAATTAGAGGTGAGGTGTTTAGATAAAGACATTAAACAGGACTGAATGAAGACACGGCACAACCAGACTGCCAAAACTGCTGACTCACCTCTCTTACTTTTCTGATCAAGTTCAACCAAAGACTGAAAGATAAACATGACAGTTTAGTATGTGGGACAAAGGAGACCTAAATTCACCATGTGCAGTTAAACATCTGATGTTGGGCAAAGGGCATTTGTGATCCAGTGTGTGTGTTTGTATAAGAGAGAGAGAGACGCACTTGCAGTCATCAGGATTGTCTGTAAGCAACAGGAGGAACTTGTTCTGCGGCAGGATGAGGGCGAAGCAGCAGTCCCTCCTGCCCCCTGGAGGCAACTTGGGGAGGTCAAGGATTTCCCTCCCCTCTGCAATGGACTCGCAGTTGGTTTGTAGTGCTACCACCTGATCGGGAGGGGATTCTGCATCGCGGCACACCAGCAGGCTTCCCTCCATGGTCAGCACGAGGTACTTCTCCTTCCACTGTTTAAACATGAAGCCCCCTGCAGACACACAAAGAACAGACAAAGGCATGTAGGTGGAGGTGGTCCTTTTATGTTTTTGATGTAGTCAGGTAATAAATTATCTGGAGTGATTAATGGTAAAAGATAGAAGATAAAAGGAGAGAGTGGAGAATCCCAAACTGAGAAAATATGGAGAGAAGAGTTTTTTATTAATACTACCAATGATCTTTGAAATTACTGCCAATTGTACAGCTGTCTGCATTTTGTCAGCACAGTGGAGAGTTTGTGACTGTTTCACTTGTATTCATTTTTGTTCAGCATGAAAAACAGCTGTCATTTTCACAACATTTTCCTGGGCCAGACCGCCTGTCGGCGTAAACATGAAGCCTGTCACCCTTTCTGTTCTATTAATATTTAATTCCCCTGTGTAATTTCCCATTAATGCTGAGTCCTCCTTTAGATGTTTGTTTTTTCATGTTGTGCTTTGAACTGCACTCTATTAAAAGGTGTTTCTAATACAGTATCATGTCCAACTCGTTGAT